TGCTGCCTTTGGCATATGGTTGATGCTGGCACAGGTCAGCACAGGGCTGAACGGAAGAAAAGCTGTAAATACAAAGCAGAAGGTCCTCCTGCAAATGGAGTTACAAGCACAGGGAGAGGAAAAGGAAGGTGAACAACAGAGTCAAAATGCACAAGATGTGTCACTGCTCATGGCTCACAGACAGGGACTTTTTACCCCAGCAAGGCTGCCTAAAACAGATGGGAAGGGTTTCCCTCACATCTCGCAAAGGGGGTTGCTGGTAATGGTGCATCACTTATGCTCAACAGCTCTGTGCTCAAACTCCTCCTCTGCTTGTCCAGGACCTGGGATTCAAGTTCACAGCTTAGGCATTTCAGTGGATACATTAACAAGATTAGGCAGTGCTCCTCTGCAGCCCACCAATTTTGCTGGGCATAAATAGTTACCATGATAGATGAAGAGGGTGAATGACTTTGCAGCTTGATGAATCAAATCTTTCCCAGACTGATGTTGCTTCCAAATTCTGAACCAGTGAGAGGAAGCATTTTACACCAAGTGGAACAACTTTCAAGCTGAGAAAGAGCTTTCCCTTGCTTCTTCTGGGCTTACTTGCAGCCAGCCATTCACCTGGTGAAATGCAGAGCTGGGTCAAATCCTTGCGTTGAACCAGGCACAGGAGAAGATACTGGTGGGACTTCTCCAGCATCTTCTGTGTGAGTCGTAATCCAAGTCTGAAAGCACTCACCAGAGCAGCACCAGCACCAAACACAAAGAGGGCCCTTGCCTCTGAGAACCTCATGGGGGTTTCGATGGGGACCTTGTTCCTGGGGTGTCAAGGCGTAAGGGCTTCAGTGCAAGCAAAACAGGGAAATTTTAAGCATCCTCTTGGTTTCTCTGGATTTTGGGAATTAGAGGGCTGCTAAGAGAGGATTTTGATGATCTTATGGCACATCAGTGTTGGATTCTAACTGCTAATGATATGGTTTCAGTGTAACGTAGCTGTAACAAAGATGGCTTGCACCTGGCTACCTGGTCTCATCAGCACTTTAATTCCAGGACCATGGAGCTCATTATGACTACCTTCTCAGGTATCTACCTGCCCTCTTAGGTTTTGCAGGCTGGGTAGCCATGGCTACGCTGTGACAGCATCTGAGCTAGCTCACTGGAAACTCATGAACGCGTGTCTACCCTTCAGGGCAGCTGTATCAGAGTATCTCATGCCCCTTACTGACTTCAGCCCTCTATGCTGTTCTCAGTCCCACATGTGGAGAAATACTTTGGCAGCATCGAGCTCAGATGATAACAGGTATAGCTCTGGGGAGGGTTACAGTATGGAACAACCACCCTCTCAGAACTGAGAAAGGAACTGGATGTCCAGATCTGCAACTCTCCTCCTGGGCTCAGTGTGGTTTGTGGGCAGTGAATCACAGATGCTTAAAGCAAGCACACAAGCAAGCAAAACAAACCCTAAACCCAGCAAGTTGAAGATGCTTCCCTTCAGTGAACTACATTTCATTTTGAAGAAAAAGAATAAGTTGAGAGCTCTGAATTCTGAAAGAGGAGCCCACCTTCCTTTTCATGTAGATGCATTGGTGACCCAGACTCTCCTTCATGAGGACATGTTATAGTAGGACGACAGCAGCCCAATTACTGAGTGAGCTGGGCAGGGATTTCCCACCCCCAGTGTAAAATTGGTGCAACTCCATTTGATGCGGTTGGATGGGACACAAACACGAGCACCCGCATCCTTGTGTTGTCTGTCTTCTGACTGAGTTTGGGATTGCAGAGATTGCCTCAAATGCAGTGTCTGGGAGCGCGAGCTGCATGTGATGACCTGTGAGCTGCCAGCCTGGGGTATCTGAGCAGGATTTGGTTTCACCCCTCTCCTTTGCCCCTCCACCAAGAAAAGAAAAGAAAAAAATAACCATTCCTTTGGTTTTAACAGGATCTATGTGTGTTTTTCAAATAGGGATTGCCCCTAGATGGAAACTAATAGGCCTTCAGAAAAGAGGTAAAATACACATGCACGTATTAAAGATCTAACAATGCCTTCATCATAGGATGAAAGCTCCCCGTAAAAGCTGAAGAAGAAATCAATTTAATAGCTCCTTCACTCCTTCCTGACTCCTGGAGTGCCAGTTAGGTGCTGAGACAACCTTGTTCTGATGAAAGCAATTTTGCTTGCTGCTGTGATGCTAATTTTTTCATCTGGAGAGTGGCTCCTTATGGCAGGTCTGATTCAATTAAGGATTACAGGGTTCTACATCTCCCTTTGCTGGCAGTGTGTGCTAAGCAAGTGCAAACGAATTACAGACCAGTTGTTTTCCCCTGATCCCTAATGATCCCGGGTGAGTTAATGCAACAAGATCTATGGGCGAACTTAAAAAGAATGAAAAACACAGCCGTGCTCTGCTTTTGGCATCTGTACCTGGTTTTTATACATGCAAATCGAGTTTCCTGTTCATTGAAAACAACCAAACAAAACACGGTGTCATGAACATAGTGCAGAGAAGGGCATTCACGCTGTTCCTTCTCAGCGACCTGCTTTTCCAGAGGGCACCCAAGGGTGCTTGGAAAAGCTTTGGCTAACGAGGATGGCGGGCAATTAGCAGAACACACTGCAGCACTGGGGCATTCTCCGAGGGCCTTTCCTGGTGCTGCAGCTTCGTCTTCACGTGTGTAAAATGCAGAAGCAGGGGCCGTGCGCTGGCCTCTCCCCTTCCTGCTCGTGTTCCTCCTGTCCCTTCTCCCCGTGTCCCTGATTCTGTCTTCGGTGTCTTATCACCACCTCTTATCAAGGGGACTTTTGGCACATTGATATGTTTGGCATTTGTTTTTTTTCCTGCTTCTTGCCTCCCTCTCTCCTTTATTGGCTCATTTTTTAAAAAGTGCAATTTATCTGTTTCAGAGATGCCGGTTCTGGTAAAGCCACCAAGGACTCAGGCTCTCCCCTCCCTTACCCCCCGTACTTCATTATTTGTGACACATCAGGATCTCCCAGGCTCTCCTCAAGTAACTGGGACCCTTACTCATAGTTATCAACCCCTGAAGGCTTGAAACTTAAGAGTGAAAGGTCCGAAAAGAGGGAGAGGAAAAGTATTTTCTGTCTCTTGGCTTGTCTGATCTTGTTCTGGATGCCAGTGGCTTTTCCAGTTTTGTGTCCTCTGCTGGCTCATGCGGAGCATGTCATTTCACAAGGGTTTGTCATCGTATCGCTGATTCCTGGGGATCCTTCTGTCTCTCAGTTTTTCTCCTGGATGCTCAGTGCTCAGAGAGCCTCTCCCCATCACACCAGAGAGAATTCAGCCTGGAAGCCAGAGCACCGGCGTGTCTTTGGTGAGCACTTGGTCAGCATGGAGATCTGGGTGCTGAAGTTGGTGCCGTTGCTGCCTAAGGAAGGGTGGTGATACTTCATGTCTGAGCCCAGGAACCGCTCCAGATGCCACCTCCGCCACTTTCGCTTGAGCTCAGCTTGGACCTAGGTGGTGGGAAGACAAGCAAATCAGCAGAGGGAAGCATTTTCCATTGCTCTGGTTGTGTGAGTAGCAACGGGTGACCCACTTACCAAGGGGCCAAGAATTATTTTATAAAGGTCACTAAACTCAACCTGGCCAGAACTTTTAGCCGCATAGAAGAGAGGTCACACTCCAGCCAGTGAACTACTAGAGCAGAAATCCCTGAGCTTCACCAGAAAGGTGAGCACAGGGAATTGCTTATCTGATACAGTGAAGGTGCCAGACTACTTAACTTTAATGGCAACATATTCTATGCTTTGTGACTACAATTAAGATTTTTTTTTTTTACTGCCCTGTTTTCATCCAAATACAAATGATTTAACTATAGCTTGTTCGTAAAGCTGTCACTACAGCTGTGCTTTTTTGATCGAAGCTACTTCTTTCTGCTCAGGGAGTTTACATACATCATCTGGTTTACACTGTCCAGATTCAAATCCTGAACAAATCTGGCCACTGTCCCTGTCCCCTCCTGCAGCCTTCCAGTGCAAATTCTTAGATAACAGTATGAATTAGACAAAACAGCTGTGTCTGAGAGTCTCTGGGATCAGCAAGCACGGGAATAGCACAACACCAGGATGCAAACCCCAGGACTGGAAACATGGGAAAGGCAAGATCAATGCCTGTAACGCAGAAGCATGTTTACCTGGCACTGATCTGTGCCTAACAAGTCACATCAATGCCTACAATGGTTTTGGATCATTCATAAGTTTGTGTGGTTCTGTCCTGCTCTCCACAAGCTTACTGGCAAAGGTCTCTGATGGAGCTGGGCTATCTGCCCTGCATGCCACTGCGTGATGTACACATGGCATCAGCATGACTGAAAGCAGCATCAGAGCTCTAAGACAGCAAATTGTGATTCTGGACACTCTTCCTCTCCCCAGGAAGCTGGAACACAAACCCAGATCACAGCTGCCTCTTTCTTGTCCATGCTCAGTTTATTGAGCTGAAAGTGCTCCAGCTGACAGCAGCTCCAAGTTTTTAGCTGCTCACACCTACTTGGTAGCCTTCGTGATATGGGTTTAATCAGCCTCTGCTGAATTTCTTACGGGCAGATGGAGCATGGTACAAAAATATCACTGCACTAACAAGCCTCCATCTTGGCAGTGGGCCTGATTCTGTGGGGGATTCTTTGAGGCGCTAAGCATGACTAGGGCTTAGAAGATGGGCTTTATCCTTCCCTGCTGAAGGTGGTCCCTTCGGATCAGGGTTTATGCAAGGTCATACAGGAGTTCTGCTGATGCTGTCTCACGAGTAAAGGAAGGACTAAGCAGCAGAAATATTACAGTCCGCACAAAAGTCCTGCTACATTTACTAATTGTCCTGGAAACTGTCAGGCAAATGGTTGAGTTGTTTTTTCTGGAGTGAGCGATTTGACATGGAAGCTTCCCGCCAATATGGTAACATCAGGAATGGAACACTTCTCAATCCACTCTCCACTAGCATGCAATTTGCCTTAGCTGCAAACATTAACCAAACAATATTGTTGATCTTACCTCCCCATTGAGAAAACAGTACAGAACAGCCACCACAAATCCCTGGAGAAAAGGAGAGAACAGGCTTTTAGCACCTCATAGCTGATATTCCCCTAGATCACAACCCAAACTCACTGCAGCCTTGGAGAAAGGGTGCACTGTTGGGGGACTGCTAAGGTGCCCCTTAGAAACCACTTGATTGCATTTTCCTTATAAAGGGAGCAGGGGAAGATTGGTTAAGATACTTTGCAGCAGATGTACGGGTGTGAGTTCAAAGATTGCTCCAGACTGGTGTTTAAAGCCATCCGCAGTCAGCTCAGCTCTAAGAGGAGCACTTGGTCATTCAAACTTTGCTGCTTGCTCTTGTCAGCTGAAACTGGGGAGATCTAAACATGCTCACTAGAACATCATCAAGGTCAGAATGATCTTAGACATGGTATAGGGCTAAACTGTTCCTTTTCCATCTCCCCTGCAGTGACACCTCATTTTCGAGACCCTCAGCTTTCACTGAAAAAATAAAACAAACTTCTCTCTAGGCTTTATAATTGCAAACACTAAAGCCAAGAAGTGAGTGTAGGCCCGTTCCTCTCTCAAAGGAGAGATGCCAGATGTGAAGTGATAATGATGCAGACAAGGACATTAACTCATTCACCACTGAACAAAGCATGCCACTGACGTGTATGGTACATGGCGACAGACCCTGCTTGCAGGCTGCGAGAAGACAAAGTGGCTAAAGCTGATGGATGGATGCAATTGGATGAAATACATAAATAAGTGCTTCTTTTCACGCAACAGCAGGGCCAAGGTTGCCAAGGGCCCAACATGGGAATTGACTGAAGTGAAGTGTGTAAGAGGGTTTAAGAAGCAAACTTCATCAGGGCTTCCTGAAGATTAATGCAGAGGACAGCCCCATTATCCATCCTCATGGGGAACCTGCCTCCTATGCCAATGAACTGGAATCCTCTTTAAGCAGGATCTACAGGCAGGACTTGGCTTATTAACAGAGAAGAAAGTTCATGCAAGTCAACTGGTTGAAGACAGGCGAGGCTCCTGTTAATGGCCAGAAAGACATTCCTCCCAAAGGTGATTTATCTCATCTTACACCATGTCAATGATATATAAATTGAACTGAGGTGCTCATTTTTCTCCCTTAAGTGCAAAAAACCTAGGGGGACTAACTTATAGAGGTACATTTTCTTTTCAGGTGCCTAAAATGAGGAGGGAGAATCTCCTTCTGGAATTCCAGGAGGCAAAATATAAAGTTATCTTCCATCCTGGCCAAGCTGGAGTGAGTAGCTTTTTCCTCAAAGGTATAAGAGCAGTATTGGGCATGTACAGGAAAAAACAGCTCACGTGTTTCCTTATTCCTTTGTCAAGCTTCTTACACTTCTCCCTGCCGACAGACCTGGTGACTGACTGGTGGCCCAAAGGGTGGCTTACCTGGAATGACCCAACCACAAGCTCAAAGAACAGCTTAACTTCTGCTTTGAAATTGTCAGGGAAGAAAGCAAACATGATGTAGTGAATGCCAAAGAGAGGGATCAGCAGCAAGGTGGACTTGGCCAGCCTCCTGTTGGAAAGACAAACATGAGCCATAAGGGGAGAGGGAAGAGGAGCTAAAGGGTAAGCTGATGAGAAATCCTGCAGCTGAGCCCTATGCAACCCTGAAACTTTAATTTGCTGCAGTACATATTTGCTGATTACCTGGATCATGATGGTGTAGCCTGTATCATGCATGTTAAGTGCCTTTGTTTGCCCTTAGGAGATGTGATATGGGCCACTTACCTTGAGGTCCTGGGAACATCCAGCCTTTCAACAGCAGCCTTGAGCAAGGGAGCATCAGGAGACTGCCCTCGCCCAGAGGGAAGAAGTGTCTGGGGTACAGTGAATGAGAGAGCGTTGCGATAGCTCCTCACAGCCTAACCTCCCCAGGATTCCTCTGACGACCTGGGCTGGGATGCAATGACATGTGGAGGTGGACCCTCAGCTGGGCACAGTGACTGTATGGCAGTTCAAACCAACCAAGGACCATGCTGGGATCATTTCCACAGGCTTGCTTTCCTCCTTGTTAACAGCTCTCATATAAATATATATGTGCCTCCAGATGAGGCAGAGTGATCAGCCCTACATTATTTCTCCTTGGCCTGAAGACTACAGATGGCTGGTGATTTCAGATGTGGTGACAACATAAAATGTGACATCTTTATTCCCAGTAACTTCAATGGAGGTATTTCTTTCTCCCTTCTCTCTTCTTCCCCTCCCACTGGAGATCTTTTTTCATCTCTACAAGCTAAATCATCATCTAGCGCTCTCTTTGTTTGCTTGGGATTTCTGAAAATTACAGCTTCTGGGAGAGAAATAGTATGTTTAGCTCAGAATAATGACAGGCTATTGCACAATGAATGTCTCCAAAGGAGGGAGATGAACAGTATTAGTGCTTAATGGCATCAGGCTGGGTAACCAGAGGTCTAATTAGGAAGAGATGATAGTTTATTAAATCTAATCATTATTAAAATATAGCTGATGGAAATAAAATGAAATCAAGGACTTAAGGATGCTTATGGGGGTTTTGGCTCCCTTGGTCACCTACAACCTCCTGTGTCCCCCTCTCCCAGAGGCTTCTGGAGCAATTGAAACTAAAGCTGGGAGACTGGAAATACTTGTTCTACCATCTGCAAACCCTTCACCTCCAAAGTCCCACCAGGCTCAGTCCCCCCAGACCATCTTCATTTATTTGCCATCTGCATAAGCCTGCTGGGAAGGCTGATGTGCCAGCTTTATGCAGATGATACTTATCACTGTACCTCCCAGCAGACCTTTGCAGCTTTTCCTGAGCCTGGCCCAAAGGCAGATTGGCATTAAGGCTGTGTCGGAGGCTATTCCCAGGTAATACCTGGTGGCTGAAAAGCAGCTGGCTGCAACTCATTCCAGGCAAAATGAGTGCCTGTAGGAAGCCGAGGAACTTTCCAGGAATTTGCCTTTCCTACCGCATCCCTCAGTACTGGGCACATCCCTGCTCATAGTGAGTAGATCCAAAATCTGAGTCCTCTTGGATGCCTTGCTCTGCCAGAGGACTGTCTCTGTCATTGGTGACCATCAGGGTACCATGTTCCTCCCTGTCAGAAGCAGCTCTGGCCAGTGTGACCCAGACTAGTATGACCCAGCCCTAATTCCCCCAGCTCCTGACATATAAGAAAGCAGCTCATTTTCTAAGCAGATCACAGTTCATTAAATATTAACACTGGCTTTGCAGAGACCTCTCCTTTCTCCTCAGTCTTTCAGAAACAAGTCAACCTAGAGAAGATTGATGTGATGCTACCTTCATGTACCATATTCATAGAGAGGCTGTTTGCAGAAACAGATCAGAAAATTTTATCTTATTGTTGCAGACAACATCGGGGCCTCAGTAATAGCATTTTCTCTCCTGGATGGACTGTGGCAATGAACAGGACCTATATGCCAAACCTTAGGAGCCCCCTCTCTAGTTTGCACAGCTCCCCAAACCAGTCTCTTGCTCCCGGCATCAAGCTTCTCCAGAATATCGAGTGACGTTTTAGATCTGTTTGGCTTCAAGGCAAGGGTCTAGCCCTGTGATATTTAAAAGACCCCTCAAATACCAGAATGAGAAAAATTACCTTCCCCAGTTACAGTGTAATTTATCCCAGGAAGCTAAAGCTTGGCTGTGCAGAAGGCAGAACTGCTTGGGAGATTGTCCGAAGCTGTTTAAAGCTACCTGCTGGAAGCCATGGCTTCTCAAAAAACTCAACTATTTCCATTCCCAGCACAGGGTGCACTTCTTAGACCTACCCTCTCTGACAGATATACGTGGTGACAGGCAATTTAGGGAAAACACATCTCCACTAGCCTGCACTGAACCTACTCCTCTCCTTGGGAGTGGATAAGAGTGAACCAACATTTAGTCATGCTCCCTGAACGCATAACGGAAAAGTTACCCGGAAAACTTTGATGATATTATTGATCTATGAACATGTACAGAATAGAAAGAGATTAATTTTGCTCAAGGTTACTGTTGCAGAAAACAACTTCTATTTGCCTGAAATATTGCTGTCCCATTCTTGCACATGTCTCTGTCATTTCCAGATAAATGTTTTGGGAGACTTGTTTTCACAGTTTCCAATACATTAAAGCCCAGATCACTGTCTGTAGCATTAATGAGTGAGTCAGCAGCGCACCTGAACTTCGAGCCTGCAGCTAAACTGAAGCTGGTTGGAATTGAACAATACTGTCAACATGTCAACGTGTTATTTTTTAATAAAATAAACAATATAAAATAAACAAGAGAAGGAGGGAGAAATGCAAATGAGAGATCCCTGATGTTGTTAGTTTAAAACATACTTATTTCAGTTTTTTGCTAAGATCTCTTGGGTCCTGGTGGCCAAACCCCTGAAGCTAGCAGCAGCATTTCAGGCAATAAGGGAATGACATGTAAAAGAATCCAGGTACCTACAATTGCAGATCACATGCCTAATGGCATTTATAAAAGGGTCTGGACCCCAGATATCTCTACAGCTAGCTGTCTAAACATTAAAAACTTAGGAACACACTGAGAACTTCCCTTGGTGAGATCCAGCCTTCAGATTGGGGCACAATATTCTTTTCCATAGGAAAGTGTGGTGTCTCATGTCCCACTGCAGTCAGTACCATGAACGGAGACTTCCAGATGCCCCAGAGAATCTGGATGGTGGCCAGCTGTCACTGTATAAGGGTACAAGTCTCCCATAGGTCCTGGGTCCTATATGCTGGGTCCAGGCAAGTATCTCAAATGTCCTAAAGAATCCCAGATGTTTTGGACACTTATAAGTGAGGAACTGATTCATGCCCTAATGAAACTGAGATGTTTTTTCCAGGTGGAGGAGGAAGGTGAGGAACTGAAGATATGAAGATCATTTGTACTTCAGCAGTGCCTCCTGTTTGGCAGGCCAGTGGGGGAAGTCCGTGTTACTTACTGCCCTGACGTGCTACATTTGTTTACAAGCTTCCTGGCAGCTCCCACTTCATTGGAATATGTGAAGTAAAAAGCCCTGAACCCAAAGCTCAGCATAACCTCCGAGGTAATCTGGGCATAACCCTTCCCATGCGTGTTGGCAGCACTTCTACTGAGATGAATGGAAGCCAACTGCTCCAGGCTGCTGCTGAGTACTAGAACATATTTCAATATGCTGATTTAATCTATGTACCTGGCCAAAGCTGTTGCAATCCTGGGGGTACAAAGATACAATGCTCAGTTGGAAATACATAAAGGGAGGTGATAGAAAGCACGGGGTCTGGTAATGTTGTTGTGTTATGATGACAGAAAAAGAGGCAATTGGCTCTGGCTGCTGCAGGGAGAAGTTAAGGTCAAATACTGGAATTTCCTTTCCTAAATCCGAGAATCTCTCGAGGCAGATGAAATGCATAATTTACCATCACCAGAGAGAAAGACTCAGTGTCATGGCTGGTCCGTATTTAAGGACCATATTGATATTGTTTTCCATCTTGCAGAGAGATGAACTGAGCCCAGATTCTTCAGGGTACCAAAGTGCACAGCTCCCTCCAAAGACAAAGAAGATTTATGAGCAGTGACCATGTAGACACTGGACTTTTTTCTTTTCAGTTCTTTACTAGGAAACATTTAATAAATATCCAGGATGATTGAAAACCTGAGCCAGGACAGTGGCAAGAATCAAAAATAAGCTGGTCTGAACTTTTATTTTATTTGCATTGAAGCCAGAATAAATCCATGCAGAGAGGCAGATTTCTCGCACTCTTAAAATACTGCAACTAAGACCAGTCTTGACCACTGAGACAGATGCTGATTTCACTTGCATATTGCTCGTTATAAAAAGCCCCATTAAGGTCAACCTTATATCCCTGGAATAAAAGCATTACATCAAGCAAAACTTCTGAGACAGTGCTACTTCTCAACAGTGAAGAGAAATGCATTGAAGTAATCCAGCCTAGTTTAGGGGTCTGCTTTAGGATAAGGAAAATTTGCCACAGACCCTAGTGAATGTACTAATTTTCTAGATCTCTCCTGCTTTGAAAAAGGGAGCTGAGAGTAACTTGTTCAGAAAAAAAAGCCTGTATACTGTGGACGGCTACTCTTTGTTCTCCATGTGTCCCTCTGCCTTCAGAATCCAATAAATATTGAATATACAAAGAAAAATCCTATTTTGTTTCATGATCATTACTGTTGCTCTCACTTCTTCATCATTAATCCCAGGAGAAAGTCTTCTTGCCTGTCTGTTCAAACTGACATAAACCATGCCCAGCCGTTTTAGCAAATGCCCCGTTTCCCGATTTCTGATCAGCTTTAATCAATTACCAAATACTTGATTCTGATCAGCACAGCCAGATGCAATACTGAACTAACAGCCAAAGAGGTTTCCCCAAAACCATACAATATGGTTAAAAAAGTCTAGGACTTACGAATATTGGCTGGTTTCATTGTGTCCAACGTTTGGGGAATGCAACTTCTGGACTAAGATACGGATGATGCAAATGAAGAGAATGAAGTTCACCTATTGGGATGGGTAGAAAGAAAACAGAGAGAGAAATAAAAAGTTAGTATTTTTGTCCAGTGAAAAGAGCTGATCATTAGAGGAGAGTTCCTTTCACTGCAAAATTTTGCCATGGAGCAAGCTGTTGTTAAAAAGCCATGAGCAGAGAACCCCACTCTGGGAGCACATAGTAAACCGACACAGGATGGCAGCCATCTTGGGCCTGACATCAGCCTGCTTGGGACTTTGTGTCATACATCCCAAGTATGATGATGTCAAACCCATAGAGCACAGCTATGCACGACGTCCTGCTGCGTGGGGGAGTGCCGACGACAGGGTGGGAAAAGAGCCTTGGGAGTTAGCGGAGTGACGGACGTCAAAGCCCTCGGGAGACGGTGACATGGGACCGGCTGCTGAGCATGTCAAAGACTGAGGTGGTGAGCCAAGGAAACCAAAACAAAACACAAAGCAGTATCCACTCAAGCGGGCCTCTACTCCATGCTAATGGGCATGTCTTCTCTGGAGAGAAGCTGGACACCTTGTATAGGAAGGGATAGACCTCACCGACACAGCAGAAAACATTCTCTCCTAGGACGTTAGACCAGAGGAGTCTAGCTAATACCTAGATTTTAGATGGTGCTTTTCACTCAAAATGCTCCACCAACACACTCAAGCAATGCTAACCTTATTTAATAGCAAAGGTGTAGAGATAGCAATGGCAGTTTCCTAAAGGCACGTAGTAGATGGCATGAGTTGAATGCAAATCTACTTGCTTTTAAGGTCCTATCCATTGAATCACGCCGTTATTCATGCAATGTATACAACAGAAAAGTGATGACAGATTTCTGTGGACTTAGTTTAGTTTTAGTTTGGCACACAACCTCTTTCTTTATCCTTTCATGGTTAACGAATGCACAAATGATTCTGATTTTCAGAGACTCAGCGGCTGGAAGGGATTGTGTTAACCAGCCAATCTGATTTCCTGCAAAAACAGATTGTAAAATTTCCTCCAGCAATTCCTACATTTATCTCAACAACAGGTGAATAAAGTAGACTGAAGCACATCTCTCAATTAGACACCCTTTTTTCAAAGGCCATGAGTGAGTGGAAATTAATTGTATTTCTTGGTTATGACGCATTGCTTAATCACTTTTTATCTACTTCATGCCATTTATCATAGTTTCTCTTCATATTTATTTGCTTATAAAAATTGTTTGCATGTGACCTGACAAGTAAAATTTATCTGCTCAAAACAGTATTATCTAGATCAATTACTCTAATGAGCATTGATAGCACACAAGCTGCAGCCCTGAAGGTAAGATCGGAGCAGCTAAATACTGTGTTGGCTCGTAGTGGTCAAGAGCAAACATGGACACAGGTGGCGTACGACTTATAGGCTTAGTACAGTCTTAGCATTGCATGGTAGAAGACATGGCTATCAGGCTACTGGAGAAGTTGTTTAGTTTATTTTTCAACCTAGAGTATAATCAAAGGCACTTGATCTGTTGCCAGTGCTTAATATCTTATATATCTTAAATATGTATTTCTTCCTTCCATTGAGATCTATGCTTTATTCCCACGGATATGGAGAAAATGTTGCATTCCTCCCTGAAGAAACCTGCTGTTCATCAGATAGATAGCAGTTATCATGCCCTTCCTTTGTGCCAGATTTATATGATATCTGCAGAAGGAAAATCAGAAATTGCTGGACAAATTTTGTTTCACAATGAGGAAATAATTTATTGGTCAAAAGAAAATACAGACTCATTGATCCAAGGAGAACAGGGTGTATTTCTTTACCAGAAGGTTATCTTGGGAAAGGGAAATACTATCTATAGCTTTATATGATGATATAAATATTTTGAGATGTGTCACCTGAGTATTGTATTTCTTTTCAAGTGAGGTGGATAGAGTAAGATGTAATTATTCAAACTGTTGCAGTTTGGAATCCCTGTATGACAAATGCTACAGAAAAAAAGTCTTCTTGTAAAGGTCATAATGTATGTGGAATAAGGAGAATGTATGTCCAAGAAAAGATTTCTGTTTAAAAGAGATATATTTTGTTTGATTTCTGTTGCATTCTTTTTCTTCCCTTCCCACACACTTGCCTTCATTTAAGAAAACTCAAAGCTAAGTTTAACTCAAGTTCATCTGATTTCAAGTTTTGGCTTGATACCTGACAGAGGAAACACAGAATATTTAACAAGGATGAAAGGATTCAGAGTTCTTCAGAAGTGTCATGGTTTCTTCAGAATGGATCATATCCAGAGAAGTAAGAAGTCAAACACTTCTGTTGATTTATCTGGAAATTAGCCAAGCTTCTCAAGAACTTACTTTAAAAACACATAGCTGGAATCCAACTTTGTACTGGATGCTATAACAAGACGCAAGTAGCTGGGGGAATTAATCTAACCTGTTCGTATCTACGTAGAAATTTATGGTAGGACTCATCCCATTTTACTTTATAGTGTTGACATCTGCAACTGAACAAGTCATCTGAGCTCTGCATATGGTCAGCTCAGAGAAACACAAAACATTCATGGCACAATTAATCTGATTGAATTTAGACATCCACTGATTGATTAGACAAAATGAGCCTTTCCTGGATCTCTAACCATGTTCCTGAACTTTCTCTGGCTACACACCCCCATGGCTATTGCACCAGCGTGCCCAGGGTGACTAGCTGAGATGCAGGTGGTCAGAGTCAAATCAAATGAGCTCCACCTTGGTCGTTTAGACACTCAAGCTCTTTCCGTGGTCAATGCTTAAAGGTAAAGATGTTTATCCAGAGGGTAAGCTTCCTCATCCTAAGAGAGGCATTCAATATACAGTGAGATTTTATCTGTCAGTGCATTTTCCATGGACATTTACAGAACACTTCTCAACACCCCTTCACTCCCCCCCAACTTAGTATTAAAGACGGCTTTGCAGCCAGCAGAATGTGCTGATACTTTACCAAAATAGACACCAAAATAGGAGTTTTAATGATCCACCAGAATGAGGATTCCACTATTTCCTCCCAGCACCTAAAAAGAAACAAAACCAGACTTAAACCCAAGCAAAGCAAGCAAGCAGCTATGTAACCTTCTCAGATACTTGTTTTCCCTAAATGCTAAAGATGGCTATGCTAGGTTATATGAAGATGACTAAACCTGGTGTGCATGAACTGGGAAGGGCTGAAGACTTGCTTTGCAGTGGCTTTGAGCACTGGTAGGTAGCAGTTGCCTCAGGTATAATGCTGTGAACTCTGTTTCCCTTGGAATGGGCTGGAAGGTGTTATCTCAGGGTTAATGTGGGGGAGGTTGGTGGTTCACTTTGTTTCTCCTACACTGAGGTCTGCTACAAGGAAATGCTATCAAAATCCACAGATTCATGAGGCCTCCAATGCTAGCCACCATCATGGATGGGGGTTTTGTTAAGCACAGAGCAATTGGCACCATCAGAAAAAAAAAACACATGCCCTGCTGAAAAAGATGACAGACAGCCTATGGTGAGATTAGTCAGACTAAATCTAGCTAGCTGCATCTGAGCTATGGATCTAGGCAGACAAGTCCACAGGGTCCAGGGTGTGATTTATTTCATCCTGAATTCAGAATTATCTGCAAACCACACCACTCATCTAGGTCATCTGGAACTATACTTTAAAGCCAACAAGGAAATGACAGAATAGGAATGACATGGAAACGACTAATATTGCTTGGGACACATTTATCTGCAGACCTCACAAGAGTCAGGTGATCGAAGGTGCATTTTTAGGAGAGCATTCATGAAAATCGCTCTGCATTCATGTTTGAAATAGATTAGTGGAATCCATTGTAGAAAATTTCACCTGGATTCAGCTCATCTAATTCAAAATGTTGACACTGCAATAATGGTAGATGAAGAGAGGCACTTTTAGGGCACAGTTCCTGAGACCTATTTTAGGCATCAAGAATTGCACTCCATGGACTACCCTGACTAAATCTCCACTAGCTATAAAAGGAGACTAGAGTGAATTGCTCAGATGTAGATGCTTATACTAAGTCAGGTGCATGCTGCCCTTTCGTTTAGAATTAAAGTGGCCCAATTATGTCTAGTGCACTTCATTTTTAAAATAAATTCAGGCAGTCTGAATGAAGGTCACTTTAATTTGGAGTTAGAATGTTTAAATAGAGGCTTAATGTTGTTTAACCAATCTTACATAATTAGGTTTTATTTAATCTGGATTAATGTCCTGTAATTTTTCTCTGTAGGTAATTTTAGTATGCCAAAAAAAATCTATGTTAGGTATTAGCATATCCTGTAAATTCACACTCTGTTTTACTTGGCACAAAATGCACAGCTCTAAAGCCTCCAGAAAATGCAAAGAAGTCTGTATTTTTATTAAGAATTGCTGGAGCTGAGTGGGAATATATAGTAAGAAGAATTGGTATCCAGACTGGTTAAATCCTTTGGTCTCTATCTCATTGTAGAGGCTATTTATTAACAGAGTAAATAAGGTCAGTTTTATGCAGGTAGAGTGAAACCATAAAAAAAGTCAGTAGTCCTTAGGAAATGTGTTAGCATGACTATAAATCAAAAATGCAATGAGAAATCTGAGCTGCTTCTCTTACTGAAATAAGGACAAATCAGGACACATTTGGAGAGGAAGAATGCACGGAAGAAAATGGAGTTAACCATATGCTGCAAGTGCAAGAAGCGAGGGCAGGCACAGTGAGTACATGGTAAGCACCTGATTCTGTAACTCTCTGAAGTGTTTTCTCATAAAAGCCTTTCCAATTACTATAGTTTGACTGCTTGAGTAAAAGCATGAAGGAGGATTGCAGGATCAGATACTATTTACTTGCATATATCCTTGGATAGCTCTGATATCTGCCTCATTTTCTTAGCTGTATTCTATCTGCTTCTTATATAAAATATCAAAGGCTGCTGCCAGGTTAAAGAGGATGAAGAACAGATCTTAAGATCTGCCTGGGGAAAAAAAAAAAAAGAGTCTTTTAGACTTTTTCTATTTATTAAGTATCTGCTGCACGAGCATATTTAGGGTCAATTCTGCAGGATGCAAAGCTCTGCTCTGAGCATGGGGTAGCTGCTCAGCTGGCATCTTTGTTATACACAGGATCACAAGGCCAAATGCGACCATCAGAGCCTGTTCAAAAATTCCCTGCAAATATCCTGACCAAGGGATTGGGAAATAGAGGGTGAGTGTCTGGCCTAAGTTGACGTAACCCGTGTGTCCTCAGGGAGACCTTGGAGCGTTTCCTGGCTCACGGTGGCAGGGGAACGCCTCTGCTCTGCTCTGACTGCCATTGGGGTTAGGGCAGGGTGGCTGGGTTACTAAAATTGCAGGGCTTTCCTTGGTCTTCCTTGGAGATAAAGGAAGGAAGAATTAGAGAGGAAAGATAATTGAGTCCACAGGCTTACCCAACATCGAAAAAGTAAATCCTGACAATAGTCCAAGCAGTGATGAACACGGACGGGGCACCTGACAAGAGAAGAGGTGGTGTTACTGAAAGAAATCATTATCAATGTTTTCAGGGCTGTTCTCCCCCACTCTCCATCTCTCCTGAGTGACTGAGGTGATGCCTTCCCTCAAGAGTGGGCAAATGCTTTGAGTTTTCAATGTTCACATGCCAAAGAAGCAACATGTTGCCTTTCTCTCCCACTGGCTAGGTAAGATGAGTTTCCTGTAACTGCTCCCTAGCAGATTTATCGTCCTGTTGTAGTGTCTACAAAAAAGCTTCTGATGGTGAAATGCAAAGAATAGGAATCCCTTTAGACATCTACAGCATGGACACCTGTATCTAAGCCAGTCACCACAGGCTCTCTTTAGCATCAACAGGGAGAAATATGTACTTCTAATACACAGGTCATCTGAGATACTTTAGATGTTTGCTTTAGGACAAGAAATATGCCCTTGGACTCCCTTGACTGTATTGCCTGGATCTCCACTGACTATAAAGGGAGCCTGGAGTGACAACTTCACATGTAGATGTCTGTAGTTGGCCAGATAAACCTGCCTGTGCTCCTCACTCCATGATCTTCTGCCTGACTAGGGTGGTCTTGTTCCATCCTTGTGGTGCCTCTTTTCTCTGTCTCTTGCCTTTGACTGGATTTCGGTTGGTAATACTGCAGGAAGGACATGTCGCTTTGTTCTGCCTTAGTCACAGTATTGCATATTCTTTATTACCAGTGATTTTCGAGTTCAATGGTAATAAAAACAGTAAGAACTGTAATGAGTGCATCCAAGTTATTAATTCCTGCATGATCCATTTTGGATCCATCACTGATGCTCTTGCAAATGATGGATGACTGAAAGGCCAAAAGATCCTTCAACACCTGTCATTTTCTTGAATTGCGCTTCCTCACCCAAACAACCTCAGAATAGATTTCCTTTGATTTAAAATCATTAGCTTCATACATTCTTCTTTAAAATACGCCAGCTCTACTGTGCTGAAAGAAAGGGTATCTATGCACAAGGCAGGTTTAAAGGAGGTCTGACCTGATTAACTGCATCTGAAACAAGGCCTGCTAACATCATCTCTTCTTACGCTTATAGCACAGAGAATTGTCTCTCTTCCGCAGTGTGAACCCAAGCGTAACTCCTGTCACTTTCGATGGAAGTTACTCTACAGCTAACTGATCAAATCCTGAGCCCAGGCATACCCCTGTACGTGACACAATTTTATTTTTTCTTTTCTTTTCAAGATTCTTCCCTGCTCTAATTAGTTTCAGCTATTGAAAGCATGCAATAGAAAGCCATTTTGCTTACTTATACATAAATCTTGAGCTAAATGGCTTAAGGGGGAAAAGAGATCTCTGTTTCCTCTTTGGAGAAAGAAGAGAAGTTCACAGAATCATAGAATCATAGAATTGTTAAGGTTGGAAAGGACCTCTGAGGTCATCAAGTCCAACCTGTTAACCTAACTGCCTGGACTATCTCTAAACCATGTCCCTAAGCACCACATCCACATGTTTTATGAACACTTCCAGTGACTGTGATTGTACCACTTCCCTTGGCAGGCTGTTCCAATGCCTAAAGTTGATCTGGTAGGATTAATTTGCATAAGTTAGCAATTCAGCTCTGAGTTACTTTGTGAAGAGTTTAATTCTGTCTTCTTTGGCATTTTCTCATTTTATTTTATTTTATTTTATTTTATTTTATTATTTTATGTGTTTGAGACTAGATTTACATTAAAGCTGGAGAAATCACAAATGCAGTAAGTAGAAGGTTATCAGCATTAGCACATAGGCGATGGGTTCTCAGGATAGCTAGCTGGCCTGAATTCAGTAAGACAAGGAGAGAGTGACAGACTTCAGTGTCTGGTTCAGTCCAGGAGTTCTGCTTTGCTGGGATCCAACCTTACAATTTAAGGTCAATGCATGATATCAACTTTGGGATCTCAGTCAGGTCAAAGGACTAAATGACTATAAAGGTGATGAGTTTCAGGCCCACAGTCCTTAAAGACACTGAGGTGCTCAGCTACCAATTAACCTAGCACAAACTAAGTTCTTAAATATGTTTGAAGATTTAGGCTAATGCTGTTAAACTCCTCTGGCCATCACCTGATGTTGCTCCTGGCTGTACTAACAATTTTTGGCAGCAAGGTAACGTGTATGCTATATCTCTGCCCTGTCTGAGCCCCCAGGTTTGAGCATTAAATTGCTGTTAAAAATGCCTTCAGGATCACCTCTTGGCATTCAGTTTTGAGAAGATGCGTACCCCAGCCAATCAAGATGTACCACCAAAAGTACTTCCTCTCTGAAAAGAAGGAGATGACCAACAGGGTGTGAAGATACAACCCCTCCACCAGGAGCCAGAAGAAGTTGGCCATGACGCAGTACTGGAAGAAAACCATCATGGCTTTGCAGCCTACCTGGAAGAGAAGAAACGAAGAGTGGTGAACTGTAGCATGTTTCCATAGTAAACATGCTGAATTACCAATAAACCTTGCTCTGCATGTATCTTTGGGATTGCTTTTTGCAACACTTGAAGCCCTTATGGAATGAGCTCCGTGGTAAAAAGCTGAAAGGCCTACCAAGCTTGCTTGAGGTGGACATGCTTAACGTGGACACACGTTAACCCCTGCATGGAGAGTGCAGCGCATATCCTTGAGAGAGCCAGCTCAGGTCTGGATGCAGTTTGACTGTGTGAGCCTGGAGATGGACTCAAGCTTGGAAACCCTGCTGAGCAGTGACAAACTGATATGCTGGACCATGATACCTACCAGCATGGTGCTGCTCTCTGTAGGTTTTGGATGTACATCTGTGGGAAGTTGGCTTAGTGGCAGAGTGGATGCCAGCAGGTCCTGCCCTAACGTGCAGTCACCAGCCTCTCTGCTCTGCCAGGCGTGGGTTTGTGGCGCTGAGCTGTGAAGCAAACCATTGCACTGGTTCAGACGAACCCTCCAAAAAGGTGCTACTTTGAACTGAGACCAATTCAGTGACTGGTTTATGGTGCAGCCAACAAACACTTGGTTCAGCATGATGGAAGTGATCTGCACTGGAGAGTAAACAAGAATGGGTGGGAATTTCTTATGCTATTTTTGGCACTAAAGTCAGCATCTTGAGGAAGGACACTCTGAGTGACTTGGGCATCATGGTGCCCCCATTATTCTCAGTGGGGCTGCCTGCTAATATTACCTGGCTCCCTAAACCCAAAGACATGAAGCCTCTGACTTGAACAAACTGACTCCCCAGGATTAAAAAAAAAAAAAAAAAAAAAAAAAAGAAGTATTAATTAGTCCTTGAGAGCCAAGTCCAATTATAGTCACTCCATGGCCTGGTAGATACTGCAAAAACTGAAGGAGTTTGAGACATGGGTTTGAAGAAAGCCAAGCCTACAAAGAATTGTGAGTACCCAGTTAGGAAAAGAAGGACTGGATACATATCTTTAAAATAAAGAAAAGGATAAGAAGGAGAAGCAGGGTAAACACTAATGAGCATGGACAGATTTGATTGCATTGGATTAAATTAAACACAGTAACTTGCTGTGTGAAGATTTCGCTGCAGCACAGGTAATGGGAACAGTCACCTTACAAAATGAAAAAAAATGGGAAAGTTCTCTCTGCCACTTAGGGGCCAAACCCACTGCAAATCACCTGAAGGTAGAAATCAGCTGCCCAAAGAAGTATGTCAGCCCTGGCCATTGCCCCACATCCAGCTGCAGCTTTTACAGATCATTGGTTGCATCACTACACACATCCATGCTGCCTAGGCATCCTTGAGACGTTGACTCGGCAATAGCCTCCTCGCCTTCAGTGAGCCTGCTTGGGTAATACCCTGCACTTACTGGGGCGAGGGCACGAGAACCTGGCTGCTAGCACTCTCTGGTTAGCGGCTCTTCCCTGGTGCTCTGCACGTGCAGTATGTTGAATTTAGAGCAATAATTGACGTGCACCAGTGACAAGCTCACACTTTCCCCCTCGCTCCCCTCTCCTGCTG